AGTGATTCTTTCTTTCTTTCTTTCTTTTTTTAACAATCATACTAGGGTCTAAAGTGATTCTTTCTTTCTTTCTTTTTTTAACAATCATACTAGGGTCTAAAGTGATTCTTTCTTTCTTTCTTTCTTTCTTTTATTAACAATCATACTAGGGTCTAAAGTGATTCTTTCTTTCTTTCTTTCTTTTTTTAACAATCATACTAGGGTCTAAAGTGATTCTTTTCTCGGGGGCTACTTCTGGAAAGTCTATCATGCGATTTAAAAAAAAATTCCGCTCCAAATTGGCTAACAGCGTGCGAACTTGATTGAGAGAAAGAGTAAAAAAAATGATCAAGATAATTTTTATCAAGATATATTTATACTAAACTTCACCTGAAACAATTGCCTAGTACTTATTAAGGAAGACGGTTACAGTTAGGATGGTAATTATGAATAAGATATGTAATATTATTGAAAGAGAAAATGATAGGACACGAGGATAAGAAGAATAGATAACAACTGACTCATAAAAGAGGAAGTTAAGATAGTAATGTCCAAGAAAGAATCCATACGGATGCCTGTCCCCCAAAAAGTGACGGTTCTTAGGGAAAATGCAGTGAAACCTTGTTCTTACATTTGGAAGAGCGAAGAAAAGAAGGTGGTATGGTGTGTCCTAGGTGTAAAGATCTGAACTGGTAGAGCTAATAAATGGAGGTCATTTGAACATTTGCGATGGAAAAATCGAGAGAGTAGCGACAAGCTTGCAATATTTCACATGTTGAAAAAAAACACCGCAGAGTCGAGAATAAGTATTTCCCAACGCAAAGCTGTGTAAACAATTTCGAATTCTATCAAGGTTGGAAAGAGAGGCAGCTGCAGACCAAATATGGCGGCAATACTCCATAGCCTAATCTGACTCTTGTAAAGATAAATTATAGCAGAATAAATTAACCGAGTCACGTACTTCCTGTAATGATAGAATGATCCTCCATTTTTTCAGTATCTTAAACAATGGATCTTATATATTAGTTCCACCTCTTATGGAATATGTTGCTCAACTGCTTTCTCGAGAGCCTGTACTTTATAATGCTCCATAAGTTTTCTATGGGCATGTGGTCAGGAGATTTGGGCGGCCATGTCATAACCCTCATCTAATTCTCATCAAAGTATTCCTTCATCAATTTTGATTTGTGACAGGGAGCATTATCCTGCATAAAAATGAGCTTGGTGGGGTCAATTTGCACCCTTTCAGCAGAAGTGAGAAGAAAAGACTTTAAAATTATCTTGTACTGCTCGCTCCTGAGGGGCTTTTCAATAGGTTTCAAGAAACCAGTTCCATGAAAAGAAAAGCATCACCAGAACATTATACTGAACGGATTCTTGACAGTACTTACTGTTAAATTCAAAGAGCTTTCAAAGCTTCTTCAGATTTTAGATCGCTTATCCTTTGAATTTAGCTCAACTTTCGTTTCATCGGAGAAGAGAACATTTAGTAAAAAAAAAATCAGGTGAGTTATTTTTATCAAACAGCACTGTACAATGAAATATTAAACAGTCTGTCCTTGTTGATTAAATTTAATCAAACTCGTTCATATATACAGTGTGGGGGGACAAATATTTTTGCACATATATATTTTTGATTTATTGTATTTCCGACTAATGAATAAACATACTTTTCATATCATTAACTCTACACAGAAGCATAATAACTAAATATGCATAAAAACAGAGAAAAAATAATTTAATAGAAATAAATTCCATTTATCCATTTTAATGGATGAAAAAGTATTTGGACGATGTAAATTTTAAAACTTTTAAATTGCTTTAATACTCTAGATTATTCAAGTGGAATATTATAGAATGTTTGAATAATGTTATCACAAGTTATTTTAGTCAAAAATACAAACAGAGCATTTTGTAATTGCTATTCATTCAAGAAGGTTTTCATCATGGTAAGAGGTAAAGAATTGACAAATTCGTAAAAAGAACCGATTGTTAATCTCTGGAAAAGATAAAGGAAAATATTCCATTTACAACCATTAGTTCATTCATTACAGAGTATAAAACTCAAAACTGTTGAAAACCAAATAAGAAAAGATGCTCCACGGAAGATCTCTTAATGCATCAAATTAAACAAAATCCAATGGTTACTCGTCAAGAGTTACAAGATGATTTGCTTTCTTTAGGAATCTGTGTCACTGAACGGACAATAAACACTGAAATTCATAGGAATAATCTAAAGTCACACTCTCCTTAGAAAACTCTATTACTATTGAAAAGACAGAGATGCCAAATGGAAATTTGTTCGTGAACATAAGGATAAGGAAAAATCGTATTGAGAAAGTTTATTATACACAGACACAACCAAAAATGAGTTGTTAGGACGTAATTCAAGAAACCATGTATGGAGGAAAGATGGAGATGCCTTCAAACAAACGAACACAGTTCTAACAGTGAAATTTGGTGGGAGCAGCATCATAGTTTGGAAGTGATTTTTTCTGCAAAAGGTACTGGCAACATATCAGCAATAGATGGTAGAATGAATGTTGCAGCATATCAAAATATTTTGGAAGCAAATTTAATGATTTCAGTTGAAAATCTTGAACTTCCTCCTGATTGGATCTTTCAACAAGATAATGATCCTAAGAACACCGCAAAATCTACGAAGAAATGGCTTGCTAAAAATAATGTAAATATACTGAAATGGCTAAACCAGTCCCCAGATTTAATCCCAATCGAGAATCTGTGGCGTTATTTGAAAATTCAAATCCAATCGAGAGCTCCAACAAACATCCCGGATCTGAAGACCATATGCGAAGACGAATGGAACAAAAAACCAAATAGAATTTTCAAATCATTAATTGAAAATTACAAGGAGAGTTTGGTTGCTGTAGAAGTGAATAATGGCTATTCTACAAAGTATAAAATAAAGATTATATATTCTTTTTTTTTGTATTGTGCGAATTGTTTTTTCACACATTAAAATGGATAAATGGGATTTATTTTTATTAAATCAATTTTTTCTGTTTTCTATGCATATTTAGTTATTATGTATCTGCGTATAGTTAATTATATGAAAAGTATGTTTATTCATTAGTTGGAAACTCAATCAATCAAAAATTTGTATGTGTACAAATATTTGTTTTCCCCAACAGTATAAATATAATATTGTTCACATCGATGATCACAGAATATATCGTGATGATGGACTGATGGTGGTATAATAACAGAAAACCAGATAATAAAAGAAAACATGATATTCTATCAGGAAAAAAACTAACGAGCTAAATTTTGACATTACAGTGGAAATAAACAAGAAAGAAGTTTATTTTTTAGACATAGAGCTAAACATGTTGACTCAAAATATTTCACCAGTTATCAAGTTTAATACGGCTTTGAGATTCGTAAATACGGCAATCAACTACCCGTCAAGTGTGATCAAACATATCCCGTTAGGTGTGCAATGCAGATTATCGAAAAAATTTTCAAATGAAGAAATATTCAACAGAAAAAAAAATGCACCTGCATCAAGGACTAAGTCGATTCAAGAACTGGTGACAATAGAAAAAGAAAAAAAGAATGTTATCTGGTTCAACTTACCCCCGAACACGCAAACAAATACTAATATAAGGAAAATAGTTTTACCCTTTTAAATAAGCATTTCCCCAAAACGTCCGAGTTATACAAATTATTTAATCATAGCACAGTTGAGCTACAGTTCCAATAGCAACCTAGGCAACATTATTAAAATGTTGGACAAAAGAAATAAGAATCTTGAATAACATATGAGGGGTGGAAGTAAGATCCTTTGTAAATGCAGAAAAAAAAATGTCCCTTAAAAGGTGTATGTTGCACAGAAGGGGTAGTGTATTTTGCCGAGGTAGAAAATGAAAATGGCAGTAAAAACATACATTGGTTGCAATGAGTGTCAATTTAAAAAGAGGTGCTATAATCATACCTTGTCATTTAGAATACCCGAAAGCAGGTACAATACAAGGGTAGCAAACAGTTACTGGATTTTTAAAGAAAAAATGTAAGAAGTCTGGCCATTAAATGGAATATTTTAAGAAAAGTAAAAAAAATAGTAAAGTGAATAGAAAATCCTGTAAGCTGTGTCAGGAGGAAAATTTGGGTATTGCAACATTCAAGGGTGGTGCTGAGTTGTTGAATGAGAGGTCCGAAATTATGGAAAAATGTAGGCACATGTGAAAGTTGATTTTAGGATTATACGAACCCGATTTATTTTTTCACTCCATCTCCACCTCATTACTTCCGGTACCGTATTAAGAAATTTAAGTTCTTGCTGTGTTGCCTGGGATTCTGAGTTAACCACTTGATGAGACCATGGTGATCAAAACCCGCTGTATTAATCCATTACAACTAATTTAGTGTTTATTTACTTCGTTTCATATATATATATATATATATATATATATATATATATATATATATATATATATATATATATATATATGATAAAGCAAATATAAATGGATATAAATCCGACAGAATGAAGAAAAAATATCTGGAAAAACAAAACAAAAATCCTTAAAATGCGATTATGTTGTTTTAATATGAATGAAATGTCAACGTCTGACGTTTCGGTTTAATAACCTTATTCAGGACAATATTCATTAAAAAATACAATTAACATAATCAGTATAACACGACGAAAACGATGGACATAAAAACAAGTCTTATCCAAAACAGATAAATGAAAATTTTAAATGATCAGCTTTCCGTTTGAGCGTGGTCACGTTGTCGTCAAATGGGCGACGCTTTCAACGTATTCTTAAAAATTTTATAAATTTGATTCCGATGGAAAGATTTTTCATATATACAGTTCGTTAGAAAATCTTTTCTGTTCTTGTAGGAATACGCGGAGACTAGTCGATTCCTGTATCTTCGGATAAGCATGCAGTCCTCCATGTAATAAAATGAATTTAGGTTTGTATTTCCAGTGGACAGTATGATAAGCAAATATAAATGGATATAAATCCGACGGAAAGTTGATCATTTAAAAT